ATGGCATCACGGCTGTCGCTGTGTATGAGGGCGTGGGCAACGAGTGGTGTGAGCGCGAACTCATTTTCACTGGACATCGTAGGGGTGTCGTCAAAATCTTCCATCTAACGCCAACACCCCCGACCATCACCACTCCAACCTCAGTACCCAGCACATGGTCTGCGAACCTCATCAATGTGCTCAATCACAGTGATCCAACGTCTCCCTCGTCTGCGGCACCCATCACGTGCATATTGCCGATGCCTCACCATGTCTATACCGGTGATGAAGAGGGCAGAGTGGTAAGTCAAGAACCTTCTCATCCTTCGTATGCACTTTCGCTAACATCTCTCTGCAGTACGAATGGGATTGCGTGCACCGACATCATTGATCCTCACTAAGCAAACTCACGAACATGTGAGTAAGTGGCTTTTGGTATAGACATGGCATGGTGTTTTGGATGCTTTTCGCATTGGCGTAAATAGCTTGATATGTGGCATTGAAAGGTGCATTGCGGGTACTGAATAGACAAGGTTTTCGATACACCCTCTTACCATTGTCGATGCAAGGCAGTCTTGTTCCATCCAACACACCATCTTGAGTCTAGCGGAACTATTTACGGCTTTCGGATAAAATCTCCGTTCGCTAGCCTGATGATTGATCAAATGATGCAGGTGCAGAGGCAGTACGCGTGTTGCGTTCGCTGGCGTGTCGTTTTGGTCTTGTGATCGTGCTTATCTGGCGTTTGCTTGGCGTTGCTTGTATGTTGGGTGTGAAGGGTTCAATGTTGAGGGCTCGTTGCAATGACGCCAAGTCATGCCAAGTCCTGGAGTATCACACTCTAGTTGAGCCGCAAACACTATAAGGGTCTCGTGCCCCTTCTAGATCACTGGAAATAAGCCAAATATCGTCTGCTTTGAGAGTTGGCCTTCCTTAATTGCGGGGTTCAGGGAAAGGGTATACATGAGCTAGGCCCGCAAACAGCTAGCTCGTGGGGGAATGCGATCCGCACCTGCCCGAACACAGCATGACCCCACTATTAGGCCGCGTGCTTTGAGCCAATCCCAACGGATTAGCACGTCATTTTTCGCCTTAAGTCTGGGTCGTCGTCGCGCCGCCGTCGCTCTTTCGCAACTCCAGAACGACGCGATATCCCGAGCGACAAACCGAACGATACATGGAGTCGCCGGAAACGCCCGCCGTCCCAGAGACTGCTGCTAAGAAGCGCAGAAGACCAGTCAACGGTACGCGACATGGCCTCTTTATATGGCGATAGGTGTACTAATAGAGTTTCGACAGCCTGCGCTACTTGCCGTGCGAGAAAGGTAGGATCTCATGGTCTCTTCTATACCATTTCTCTCTTTAGAGACCCATACCAAGGCAATGGGTATCCTACGAGGGACCACCAGGTTGTCGTGATGGTCATAGTTCTGGCGTCGGGGCCTAGGACATCCGGAAAACCATAAATCAGGGCCGAACGTAGCTGACAATCATCTAGGTTAAGTGCGATGAACGCCCAAACGGCTGTCTGAACTGCGAAAGGCTACAGCTAGACTGTGTGCAGAATGGCGGTGTTTCCACCGCTGCGAAGAGACCAAGCACGGCGTACGAGCCCGTTGTAGGCATCAAGCGTAAACGTACATTTCGATCCTGCATTCCCTGTCGAGACTCCAAAGTCAAATGCTCCGGCGAACGACCGAACTGCATAAGATGCCAGCAGCGCAGAACCTCATGTGTATACGATGCTGAGCAGGTGGAGCCAGCCTGGGTACAGAGCATTGCGACTCCTGCCTCAGACGCGCACGCCGATTCCGTAATGATACCGCCACACACTCCCCGGGATTCTCGAGAGCCTTCAAGGATACTCGGCTCACTGTCGAATAGCGAGCCTGCTGTAGCGGGATGTCCGCCGGGCCTACTATGGTATGCTTTACGAACTCACTGGCGTGCATCGGACTTACGAATATGCACAGGTTGTTTTCCCAGCAGCTGCCACCCAGAATCAAACTTCATGCGTTGTTAGATGCTTACTTCAACAACGTCCACCCCATCCGCGTATTTGCGTTCGAGCACAAGCCATCGTTCATTCGAATGCTAGACGAAGGACAGCTCGTAGATGCATCCGATCAAGCCCTCTTGCACATAATGTGTGCATTGGGTGCTCGATTCTACGCTCTCGACTACAGTGAGTCGTTCTCGCCCTTGACGAAAGATCTGATCCAGTCAGCCGGAAGCCAATGGGCTAAAGTCGCGGAAGAGATGTTTTTCGCTGATTACAGCACCATTTCAATCACAAAACTCAAGGTCTTGGTCTTGCTTCACGATCAAGAAGCTCGCAATGGCAACTATGCTGGGTCTTTTCTTCTTACCGGCCTTGTCATACGTATGGCGCATGCTTTACAGCTCAACAATGAAGTGTCACCAGATGTGCTTTGTAAGGAATTAGGAGGAAGTCCAAACGAGGTTTCTGTGCGAGAGTCGCGTAGAAGACTCATGTGGGCGTGCTATATGATTGATGTCTGGGCTGGTAGTGGCGTCGACCACCTCACTATACTCAATGAAAGAGACCTCAAGATTCAGCTCCCGTGCAACGAGCGTCAGTTCTCACTACAGATCCCGTGTATCACGGAGCGGCTCGAGAGGGGCACATTGTTGGAGCTCATGTCCCCAGAGGACATTCCAGAGAAGCCGGCGGATAACCTGGGTATGGCTGCGTACTATGTGCGCATCGTCAGTATCTGGCGACGTGTTCTTCGGTGAGTGTGGCTAGAATAAGCTCGCGAGTCTTGATCGCTAACTTGTATTAGGTTTGTGAAGCACATGGACGAAGAACAACCGCCGTGGCTTCCAGAGTCAGGATTCGCCGTCCTCATTGAGGATATACAGTCGTGGAAACAAAGTCTGCCATCCTGGCTAGACTTCTCCGCGGACAACATCTACATTCGGCGCGAGACACATCAGCTAGGTGCCCTCCTCCTCATCCACTGCATGTACCATCACGTTATGTGCGACGTCCACAGGATCGCTCTCCCTGACCTGTTCAAAAACCAAGAGCCGTTCGTCTTCCCTACTGATCGACAGGCGTTCGTAAGTCATCTGCAAGACGTCTGCTTTGAGCATGCGCAGCGTATGTCGGTCCTAGTTTCACACATACTCCAACACGGGGTCAAACACTTTGCGGACTCCATACTGCCGTCTTTTGTTTACAACAGTAGTCGCATCATGCTCTACTACATCGCTCGGATTCTGGACGTATCGAAGCCCGACGCAGGAACTGTCATTGGTCGTACAGTCGAGCTAGTGCAGTACAACAACCAGGCGTTGCGGGAGATGGCATTCATGTATCCACTTGCTGAATCGTTATGTATCACCTCCGAGCGCTGGTTGGAGACTGTACGCGACAGTCTGGCTCGTGGTCACTCTGCTGACTACATTGCGCCTCAGGATCCATCAGAAAACGAAGCACGGCGCATTGTCGGCGCGCCTGCACCGATGGCTGGCACTCCTAGGCAGCGAAATGCGGCCATCTCAGTTATTCCTCCTGTCGAGGAGATACTCTCGGCAACTTCACCCTCAACTCTTCGTACGGCTACTACTCGCTATCCTTTCTCAGCGCCTACCACTGGCCACGGTTCTTCTACCGTAACATCAGGCCAGGCCATGACAACACCATCCGAGAATGCAGTAGGGACCATGTACTCCTCCCCCAGCGCGCCAACTGCTTTCGAGCAGCCCATGTTCAACCTGGACGACCTCCAGAATTTCTTCGGATGGGAAGCAAGTGATGATGAGAACGCGCAGTCCACTGGGTTTGAGGGCTTTGGTCCCTTAGGGTGGGCAAATAATTTCTCCATCATGTAAGTGACTACTGTATTGTGAAAGTTACCTGCTGGGCGTTTGGGCACGGTCTTTCTAGAGTACGCCTCCTCTCTTCCGCTAGCATCGACGCCGTAGGTTCTCGGCCATTTTGGTTCGTTACTAGAATGATTCCTCTCTAGGAGCAATAGTAATCTTCTGAACGACTTTGACTGGCCATAGTGGGTAGCTAAACCAGTAACATCGTGATTCGAGCGGTAAGGTGCCGCTTATCCGCGCAACATGGTCCAACAGTGATGCAGCTAACGGACACCAACATGCATAGTAACAGCCAAGACCAAAAGCCGGGTATTTGGTACTTTGCCGCTTTACCAAGACTCTTGGTAAAAGCATTTATATGTATGAGACTCATCCTGACCACCTCGCACCACCACAGCCCGTACCTCAACATGAGCGACACAATACCATTAACTAGCGCATTGAGCGCAAGACAAGCTGCCCTCAACAAATTCGTACAACAAAACTGGTACTATTTGCGCTATCTTTACATACCCGGGACCTTCCTCTTCATGCTTGGTTCCCTCAGCCTTGCGTATGCGGTACATCTGGATCGAGCGCGCCCGCACGAACTCCCCAAACCTCGGAGGATATCCTCGTTCCTGTTCCACGTGCTGGGACATCAGCTACTACTATACGGTATTCTGATCTGTTCGTTCTGGTATATGCTCAAGGATGAGCGTCCTGGATCGGGGATCGCCCGCGCTGATGCCGACAAGAATGCCCTGGGATCGATTAAGCAGAACGACCGCGCCCTGGGTAATGGCCCCGACTATCTCTTGGAAAGACATGCAGTCCCGTCAAAAAGCGCTCGCCCTATCCCGCTCGTTAGGTCTGCTATCACTGTCGCAGCTTCGGCTTTGGGCGTCGTCGCCGTGGTGACCCGATATAACTGTCTAGACAGCGAGTGTCCATTTCAACGGAAATGCTACGTAGTGAGCATTGTATGCATTACAATCGCCTTTTCAAGGTATTTTTGGGGTTTTCTCGAGTACGTTCGCAAAATTCGGACATACATGAGGAACAACGCGGACTGGACCAGGGGGATGAATCCGAGCTAAGGGTGGGTTGAATAGGGCACCCGAAGGAAGGTACATGAAAAAGTGTTATGGTGTATCTGATACTTTATTCATTGAAACTTCATAATGTTACTTGCCCTGCAAGCCCATATACCAACCTTCGCGTAACGAGTGATCGGCTACCGAGAATATGTCCAACCATGCTTCGCTGCCCGTAGCCATGCCACGTCCGTATATATTTGTGTCATGGATGCTGTTCTGGACAACATTCGTTTTCGTCCAATAGGTGCAGGCGACATTTCCATCTGGCGATATGGCTTCTATCATGAGGATTTTGTTCTGCTCTTGTAGGACTGGAAACTCCGCTTGAAACCAAAGGCCTCCCTTGTTGACATTACCTGGAGTATCTGCGCCTGGTCCGATACTGGCGTCCATGACCGTTGCAAAAACTTCGCATAGCGACGCGAAGGCTTTGGACATGTTGGTGTAATACTGTGTTCGCCAGGTTTCGTTGTTCATGATGCAGCGCAATGGATTGGTTCTCGTGGCTTCGCTGTTGTAGTATTGTTTGGGCCAGACATCCTTGGCTTGATCAGCAGAATGCGGGGACTATGTAGCGAACATGCAAATACCCATATTGTTGTCATAGGAGACTCGCCATTCGGTCTCGTTTTCGCGTAACGCCGCGCCGTCTCGCTCAAGCCGCGCGTGTAGAACAGACAGAGGTTAGGTTCAGGTCGCAATGTTGCTTCCGCTTGGAATAACTCGACGGTGTATTTATCGACGGTATCCCAGGTCGCCTTTGAGCTGTGGGTTTGGGTGCAGTCATCGTCCTTACGCTCTAGCGGAGCAGCTCCGGTGACGAGGAAGAGTTGGTAGAATGCGATAACAAAGGAAATGAGCTTCATAGCGAAGTTGAAGTATAACGGATTGGGGTTGAAGTTTCTCATGCGGCAGGGTGGAGCTCTATCTAACATAGGTGTAAACGGCCCCCAACGCCTATCTATGGCGAGGCTGAGCGTCAGGCGTGCATGCTCGGCGCCTGCGCCCTGGCGTCAAGTTTGCGCATCTTGTCAGCTCAAACACCAAGGATACGTTCGCACCTCACACGACCAATTTCATCTCTTTGGTGATCTGGTATGCCTCCAATGCACACGGTTCAACAGCACCTAGATAGTCAAGGCTCACTCAGCTCACTCGGATCAATCGCGAACCGCGCAATACTCAGCCAGCGATTTTGCGAAGAACGGCATCTCAACGGTGTGCCATGCACACTTCACATGGAATCACGAGCAGATCGCGAATTGAAACATCTCGGCTACGGGAATGGGAAATGGTGGATGGTGGGTAGAAGACAATAGGTGGCAAATTGCGAGATGGTGGCTGGTAACCAAGCGCCCGCACAGCCCTGCCCAGACGCGATTTCGGGTGCGTTGGAATAGAGTTAGCTTGCCCCCGCATTTGTCCTAGTTGAGCATGAGCTCAGGGCCGCTCATGTAACCTGGGCCGAACGATCACAATGCCGACGTCTCACTTATGGCTGAAGTTCCAGGGCACGAAGGCAGCGATACCATCTTGCCTTCTTCTTATATGTGGGTATAGTACGACTAGCGACACTAGGACGGGAAATATGCCTGTGTCGCGTACTTGAGTGTTTACTATTGGCGTGTACAACAGGTGAAGAATGAGATGGAGGACACGTTCCAAGGTTATCAGTACAGATACATTGAGCCTGACGATCAAGTTCGTCCGCTTTTGACTCGGAGATCGCAGTTGTACCTTAGGTAGTAATGCAGTTTGGAAAGTCTGCTGTCCTCATATTAGGCGTCAGCCGCCGCGAAACTCACTAGCCACGACGATTTCGGAAATGTTCCTTCGCTTTACCAGAGGGACGACCCTGTTTTCGCTTACTTCCTACCCAATGTCCAGCCACGTCGCAAAAACCTTCTTCCAGAGCTAGAATTCTTGTGTTTCCAGCTAGCTCATCTGTACTCAATTTCCATGGTTGACCTCCTACATCTGAAGCAATTAATGGGTCCATCGGATCTATTTTCCACAAGAAGAAAATGTCCATCTCGATCCCGAGTGACTTTGCGTATATGATGTCTGCGGATCCGAACATCAGGTCTAGGCGGTACATGTAGTATATACTGATGAAGCGCAGATCTGGAAGAAAAGTGGTCGGGAGGACAGCGATGTCGTTCAGCAAGCGCTCCATAAACTGCGTAGTAAGATACGTACAGTCGACAATGGTCAAAGACTTGAGCGTCACCGGTAGTGCCGCGAAGAATAGTCCGTTCGTCCGCACAAATTCACTAGGTGGAAGCGCGGACTCGGGGATTATCAACGTCTGTAGATCATCAAAATGGTAGTATATGGGCGAGATTAGGTGAGCCCGAGAGATTGTTATGTCACTCCAAGAGCATGGCATCTCTAGCTTGGTGAGCCGCGAGTACTTGACTTCGAAGACCTGGGCAAGATACTTGTGCTCTCTTAGTTGTTGCGTCGAGGGGTCATTGGTCCAGTGACGTCGGCCATCGACCTGTGGGCTCATTGGTCCTTGCCATGGGTCTGCGTCTCTGAGCAACATTGGATAGTGAAACATGTGGCCGCCACCGAGAAATAGTTCCGCGAGATTTGGTAGTGCTAGGAGAAGCAGCGCAAGGAAAGCGTTGTTGTGAGCTGATCGGAGCGCGTTTGCCCACATCCGCTTGTTTCGGTTGCTAACGTCTGCAGCGTCCCGGATAGTATCCAGGCAATCGGTTCGGAAAGCGACTTCGGTCTCGATAGCGAACTGCCTCGACGGCATGCTCGACCGGCGTTGCGCATCCACGTATTGTAGGAGCCCAGCGCGCAAGCTGCGCCGAAGATGACGTTCTCGGGCACTACTCCAGGGTCTTCGCATACAGCCGTCTTCGTCGCCACCATAGTTCGCTTCCCGAGCCTCAGGAGACACATAATTTGTGATTTTAAGAGACTCGACTTTATCCGCCCAATCACTCGCGGGGAAATCCCGGAGTGTTCGAAATAAAGCGAACGCTTTCGGGAGTGGGACGGTAAGTGCTTTGAGCTTGTGAAACGTGGTTCGAATGACTTTGGGGAAGCGAGTGTTCGCGGTCGCGAGGGATGTTAGGTTTCCGTAGGCGCTCCGGTCGAAGCGCGGCTCGACTGCGAGATAGGGGATGATTTGAAGAAGTAGTTCATCGGGGAGGTCTGTGATACTCGCCCTGGGGATACTGCTGGCTGTGGATAATGACATGTTTAACGCTCGACAGTCTGCGGGCGGGTGTAGGAGACAGTATGCGAGAAGAAAGAGTCAATAGCAGTGATTATATAGAGAAAGCGAATAGTAAATGCATAGGCAGGTGTTAGTAGGCACCGGTCTCACCACATAAGTGCCCCTCTATCCGTTCAGTTAGGATAGAAATGGTAGAAGGTGCGGGGCAATGGGGTCAAAGGGTAACCAAACAAGGCGAGATAGGGAATGTTCAAGCAAGATTCCCTAGCCAACATGTGCTGTTGCCTGGAAGGAGGTTCAGTCTCGAGTGAAGTCAAATCCTGAAATGGTTGCATAACATGTCTCCATATAGAGGGTAACAAGTGCAATAGCCAAGAGCGACCTCCATTGAACAGTCTATAGGTAGGGACGTAGTGTACAGTAGAGAAGACTGTCGCCCACTCCAGTAGAGCCTTCGAGACATGTGGTAGAGTCGTTGAGAAACCGCGGGAGCTGCTATGTGCCTCTGTTGCACGCCACGAACAATTGTTGTGAGTATCTCCTTTCGTGGCTTGTCATTTGCGGGCAAATCCGGTCTGTCGCTGGTATCGAACCTGTCTCCAAGCTCAGTGCTGATTAGACGACAGACGAGTCTTGTGATGTGATCATCGAGTACACCGACACAACCGTAACAGTGACCGTACTTCGACCTCTTCGGGGGATGACATCAATGCAGCCCCGGCGTAACAGGGACTTGTATGTGGTGAAGTGGTAGAGGAGCAACCCCTGCGTGTATGAAACGGACGTCTACGTACTCGAAGGGCCTGATAGGGGGCGTCTTTCGTGGGACAGCTCTCTGACACTGCCGGTGTTCATATCCTGTCCAGTACGCAGTGTGACTGCACCTCGAGATACGGCATCGGACCGTGCAAGATTTAATGTGGTTCTGCGGCCAGCGCCCTTGCATTCATAAACGGTCCAGGGGCGGGAGGCTGCTGACTCGGACCGATTCGATCGCTGAAGTGATCGTCCACCAACGGTTTTCTCCGCAGTTCAAGGCACATGCTTTTCGTTGTTGTTACTGATGACAATTCTCAGGCAGAGCTTGCCGCGTGACATCGTCGGACAGGGCGAAAAGATACATAGTACAACTGCACCTAAAATCCGGTGAAAGACTAGCATAGTGACCTTGGGACTACCAATTCGATAGTCAGAAGACTTGAAGCTGAGGTTTGCGTGTAGCTCGACACGGGCACTCGATGTGGAGCAGGCACGTGGCGTGGAGACGCGTCGGGAAATTGCTGGTAGCCCAATTCGTTCAGACAGCGCTAATCCTCCACCAGTTTGGTAAAGCTAGGGTCAAGGCACGGGTAAAATCTCCAACGGCCGTCTCGTGGTTGTAGCGCGATGTCAACAAAAGGCTGCGTCATGGAAGGTCTACCGTGCGCGTTGTGAAGGCACTAGGCTGTATTGACCAACGCTACGCCGCTTGGGGAACATTCGGGCCGATCCAGGAAGGAGTGTGCCTGAGTGCTGGCTTCCGACGATCGGGCAAAGACACCACCGTACTTTCTGTAAAATCGCGACTCAGTAGTTTGCGCGACCATATCATGGACTGCAAGTTCAAGTGTACTTGAGTAACTGGAGATAATAAACTGCAGCTCATCCACACTAGAAGACGCGCATACGGGCCGATCGTTCACGTTGTAACGGTGAGATGTGGCTGAGCGGACTGCAACCAACTGACAAGGAACAAAGAGCCGCTCTGAGAACGACCAATGCAGCGACGATACCAGTGCGATGGCAGCCCTATCTAACCTTTTCTCACTGAATGGGTCACACCAATGAGTCGCAGGAGACGTCTACGATAGTCTGCATCGAAGCCGCGAGTTCCGCGCCCTGGCAGTTCTACCCCTGATGCCGATCCCAATCGACACCAACACGATGACCTGAAGCGCACAGGTTATGACTCGGGACTTTTAGAGGCACAGCAAAATAGGAAGAGCTTTGCGAACCTGAAAGCGGCGTCGCGTATGGCGCATGCCCTTGAAGGAATCTTGATTAAGGTTCCTCTTGGTAAGGCGAACTAAATGAATTCAGGGATGCATATCTGGAAAAGCCACGACCCACATTATCTATGCCAAGCTGCCAGCCTCAAGACAAGATACGGTGAGGCTGTCAAATCTGCTATACTCCAGCTAGAAATTACTCGAGCGGGGCAAAGGACCCGTGCTGGTGGTTTCCACCTTTATGGGGTCACCAACAGCGATCTACGCTCATGATACCACTTCATAATGGCCGAATGCATGGGTCTCTCCAGTGGATCAACTATGGGCACCCTGGAATCAGGCTTCGTCATGTCGATCGACATCCTACTGGTCTTCCTAATGCACACAACGGTGATATACCGGACATTACTGTGCTGCCACACTTGTACATGGTGTGGCGTTAGGAGAGAGACGTTGGAGTGGGTGAGTATATAAGTACTATCGGCTCCGACTTCAGTAGTAGTATCATCCAGCTACAGATCCACAGTCATTCCTTTTTTACGACACTCGCTTTTTGCTCCAACTATTTTACAGTCTTTCCAAGAACCCTAATTCTCCCAAGATGCGTTTCAACGTCCCCGCCATTCTTGCAGCCGCCGCTGTTGCGAACGCCGCTGTTATTCCCCAGATCCCCAAGGTTGATGGCGTCGTTGGCGGCGCCACATCTGGCGTCTCTTCCACCGTCAACGTGAGTACACTACAAGTCGTCTTATGATTACTCCACTGACAAGTTCAACAGAAGGTTGATGGTGTCGCAAGCCCCAAGATCAACGCCTCCATCGGTCGCCGTGTTAACGCAAAGGTCGGCACCAAGTTCGGCTCCGTAGACGCCTCCGTCGACCCCAAGAAGATCAACGCCAACGTTGGTGCCCACATCACCAGGCGCCAGGTCCCTGACGTCAAGCCCATCGTTGGTGGTGCTACCTCCGGCGTCACCTCCACTGTCAACGACGTCAAGAACGTCGGTGCTGACGCCAAGGTCGAGGCTCTCGACGACGTTGTCGAGGTTGAGGTTGGCAAGCGTCAGGAGCTCCCTGTCGCTGGTGGCCTCGTCAACGGTGCTACCTCCAAGGTCACCTCCACTATCGACGACGTCAAGAACATCGATGCTAAGGTCGATGCCCTCGGTGCCTCCATCGACGCATCCATCGGCAAGCGCCAGGGCCTGCCCGTTGTTGGCGACGTCCCCGTTGCTGGCGACGTTACCTCCAAGGTTGGATCTACTCTCGCCGACGTCCAGAACCTGGACGTCAACGGCATCGCTGAGGGAGTCACCGCCCCCGTTGCCCCCGTCGTTGACGGTGTTGAGTCTGCTCTCAAGCCTGTTGTCGACGGTGTCGAGCAGGCTGTTGCCCCTGTCACTGGCGCTGTCTCCGGCCTTGTTACCCCCATTGTCAACGACGTCAAGGACAGCGCTCTCGGTGCCGTCAACGGCGTTACCTCCAAGGTTGAGTCCACTGTTGGATCCACTGTTGACGACGTCAAGAACACCACTGGTTCCGCTTCCGCTCTTGGTCAGTCCGCTGATGCCGCTGTTGAGAAGCGTCAGGTTCCTGACGTCGCCCCCGTCGTTGGTGGTGCCACTGGTGCCGTCGAGCCTGTTGCCAACACTGCCACCGGTGCCGTTAAGCCCGCCGTCGACACCGTCAAGGGTGCCGTTGAGCCTGCCGTCAACACTGTCAAGGGTGCCGTTGAGCCTGCCGTCAACACTGTCAAGGGTGCCGTCGACCCTGCCGTTAACGCTGTCAAGGGTGCCGTTGAGCCCGTTGTCAACACTGTCTCCGGTGTTGTCTCACCTGTTGTCGATGACGTCAAGGGCGTAGCCGGATCTACCGTCAAGACCGCCACCGACAAGGTCGGCTCCACCGTCGACGATGTCAAGAACATTGACGTCTCCGCCGATGTCCTCGGCGCTGCTAAGGTCGACGCCTCCCTATAAAGGCGCTGCTAAGCTATGACGGTCATGCTTCGAGCGTTACGCAATCTTCCAGCGTCCATAGCGGGACGCGTTTGTACATATATCCTAATCTGTAGTAACATCTAATCAGAAATACCCCCCCTAACTTCACCCATTGCTCGTGAACATGATAATCCAAGAGTGACTTGTGATGCCTCTTTATAGACCGATACTTCGTACTGTGCTAATTACGCCCTATGAGCGGAAAATTGTCAATACATCGATGCCAACTGTATGCTATCCTTTATCGACACCAAATGACCACGTGAGGAAGAGCGCATCATTTCTGTCACCCACGCCAACCTAAGAAAAACTAAACAGCCTAGAGCCTACGTTAGCGCTAGGTTACTGCCTTTACAAAGTTTTAGCTTAATGTAGCTTGTAGACCTGTTTAGTTCTTTGCTTGTATGAGGTGCATCCATAGTTGGATGCGTAGCGCGGTCTTGCCTCGGCAGCGGAGATCTCCGGCACTACCGGCAGGCCACCCTGAGCTAGGTTTCAACTTTCCAATGTTTCCCCCTCGTCCATGAACTTGCGATTCCACCAGCCTGCCACTTTAACGACGTTACGACCCATTGACGACCATTTTGCATATCCCGCTCTCTTTTCTGTCTTTCCGAACTGTTAGAGATACTACGCGTGGCTCCCAATTAGCTCGGAACCGTCTGCGACCAGCCATACCTAGAACACACGCCCTCGCGCAATCAAGCCTCACCGCTCTCGACCTCAGCTACACAGCTCATACGACTTGATATCGCACTCGCTCTTTACGTCGAAACACCACACCCTCCTTACCTGCCCACCATGCCCGAAACAACCAAGGTCGTGCCCCTCACCTGCCACGGCCACTCGAGACCTGTGCCGCATATTCACTTCTCGTCCCTGGTCGACGAGGACCAGTACTACATTATATCAGCATGCAAGGATAACAACCCCATGCTCCGCGACGGAGTGACGGGTGACTGGATTGGCACCTTCCTGGGCCACAAGGGCGCCGTCTGGCAAGCGAGACTCTCCTCGGATGCCTCACTGGCAGC